TGCCCAACCCGTCATTTTCTATTTGGATTCCACGCTACAGCTGGCGTGTGATGTCACTCAATGGTCTTCTTAGTGTATTTTCGATCCGTCTTCACTTTCTTCGGCATACTTCTTAGGCGATAGGTTCTTGGGTGACTCGTTAACAGTGTTCCTTGTTACTAAGATTTTCTGGACGACTATCTGATCTTCAGTATGGAACGAAGGCAGCAGCCGATCGGAAACCCTTTTCGTGACTCCCGCTTCAAGTTTCGGAACCACATAGAAGCAGCGACTTGAATTTAGTGTCAAAAATCCGAATCTTGTTCTTTATGCTGACAGCAGTAGATTTCCACACTGATTTCGGAATAATGGCCGCGCCATCTCGCTTTCCCGATACCTGCAGGTTTTGATATCCTCATCCATCCATGCCACCGACTTGAGCTCAAACGATGCTACCTAGGTTAAAATGAACCCTTAAAAGAGATAATTCAAAAATAGGCCTTCAGGATCTTTATCCATCCAATTATTACCTAAGTTGTACAAAAATGAACTAAATTCATCGTCTCATGAATATTCTCCTATTGCTTGATTGATTGATTATTATTGTTCCCTTGGATTCTTAGTGGAACATAGGGCTTCAACTACTCCACGTCTCCACTTGCTCCTGTCTTCCTTCTTCTGTACTTTTCACCTGCATCCATGTTAGTGCATACTCTTCCAACTCCTCTTCACACAGTCTCCTCCATGTCACCCTTGCACTGACGTCCAACTGGCCGCTTCCCTTCGGCCTGGTTCCACTCGAGCAATGGCCTGACGCGCGCGCCATGTCACCCAGCAGCCTCCTCGGCGAGTGTCCAATCCATCCATCTCCACTTTCTCCTGCATATTTCTTGGTTGGCGATTGGTTTGTTCTTGTTTTGTTTGTTCCCATAGTTTCTTGCTGGTGATTCTGTCCGGCCCGGCCATCTGATCTTCAGTATAGATCCAGCGAAGACAGTTGTTGATAATGGTCTGGTCTGCAACAGGCTGTTGGAAATATTCTTTGTGACCCGCCCGCCCGCCAAGTTTCTGATCCGTATAGAAGAACTGACTGACTTGACCAGGTTTGTATTGAAAATCCCACCGAATTTTGTTGTTGATGCTGGCTGAGTGATGAAGATTTCCAGATTGTTTTCAGGTTGATGAATGTGTTTCTCGCCCGCCTTCCCGATTCTCACTCGATTTGACATCCTCGTCCGTTTTGACTCCCTGTAGTTGATACAGTATTCCCTAGATAATGAAGTGAATGAAGTAACCTCTTTCAAATCCCTCCCGGTGATGGTGATTGGCTCTGGATGTTGCTGTTGTTGTTGTTGTTGGTTGGTTGGTTATTTTCATAACCTCTGTCTTGTCTATGTTCACCTGGAGTCCTGTCTTCGTTGTCTCCTTCTTCGACCGGTTTGTCGGTTTTCACTTGTAAGTCTTCTATTTTGTGTGACATCAAACATAAATCATCCATGCGCGAAATCCAGGTCTTCTAGGTTCTTCATTTTACGAATATAAAATATCAACATTTGAAAGCCTTTATTTCGCTGAGTAAATGAATTCAAATACTGTCAAGTAGTCTTCTTATTTGTCGACTTGAGAAGAATGAAATTGTTGATTGTCTACATTTTTTTGAAGGTCAAGGTTAGGGGAATGAACACAATTTGTCAGAATGTTTATATTTTGATAACTCCTTTATGTTAATTAGATAAACAAATAAATCTGTTTTTTGTTTGTTTGTGTATTTGTTTTTTACCGACAGTTTGTACAGACGCATAGTCTGTGTCTATTAAAATAGATGACTCATCTACTCTATAGTGCAGTAATTTTGAAGCCTGTGGTATTTTATTCATACAACCAGTGTATTGCATATCTCTAATCTCTAAGACAAAAAAAAACAATTAAAAAATTGTATGGAGGATTCAATCATGAGCTGGCATCAGTTAGAGAACCATTGGAAAACTTGGGAGTACTGGACAGCTGTTTCGTCCTAGTTTGGGACTCCTCATCAGTACGCACCCATCGTGGTTCGAACCCAGGACCTTCTGGTTACAAGGCGAGCTCGTAGACCATTGAGCCACTGGGACCCGATCCAATGGTTCTTGAATTCTAACTTCTGCCAATTCACGAGTGATGTCATAACTGATGTCAGCTCATGATTAAATCCTCCATACAATCAAACCAAATCCCTACAAAACCAACACTTGAAAATTAAAAAATTTACAAGTGTTTAGCTGTAGGAAATTGATTCATGTTCAGAAAAGGTAAATGTGTTTGAATGTGTGCACACTGTCCAAGAGTTTAATACGCGGACGAGACAGTTGGCTGGCTCCCCTTGGTTTACAATGGATCAATGATTCATGACAAAATTTACATTGAAATTCAAATTATGGCCAGTTATTTTGAAGATAAGATGAAACAATGATGTTTTTACTAGATGAAAGGATACTGAAAACTTGAAGTGATTTTAAGCATAATTCCAGTAACTAGAAAACGCACGTTTTTCATAAGCAGTTGGAAACATGTTAGTTACGAATGTTTCAGCTGGAATTTTAGTAAAAATATCGTGACCAGCAGGGTCCACTAAGTCAAGTAAGAGGATATGCCGTTGACACTCCCTGGAGGTTTCACTATATACTGCGAATTGGCAGATGCTGGAAGTGACATATCACTAGATCTGGCCCAGTGGTTGGATGGTTTACGAGTTCGTCTTCTGACTGGAATTTCCTGGGTTCACACTGTGAAGAGTCACAAACTGAGACGAAACAGCTGTTCAGTACTCCCCGATTTTCCATTAGTCCTCTAACTGATTTCAACTTGTGACCGAGCCTGTAACCAATAAAAAACTTTGGGAAACTACACTTGAATATTATGAAGGTTTACTGACAAGATCATAATAACTTTGATTTCTGTGGATAAAATATCGCAAAATTCGAAGCTGTAATTTTTTCTTCGTTCCTTGACTTTTGAGCAGAATATAGAGCTTCATGGTATTGAAGTTCCATTCAGAAGCACGGGTGTTATTTTAGAAGATGGGGTTGCTAGCGATCAAAAAAGCAAGCATAAATATATGACACTATGTACTACTGATTGATTGAGATGATTAATTGTTTACTACTCACACCAACGAGTAGTAACTGCTAGCCATTTCGAAGTAATCCAAACCCGGGATAGCTGTTTAGCTCGTTTGGGGTCAAGCTCATCAACAGATAATAATTGTAAGGATTATGGAGGTACAGTCACTGCATGGACCTATCAAAATCCAGTACAGAATTATGATACGGCTGACATCAAGAAATTCTATATACACGTCTTTTAAAACTGGGAGATGCCATTTCTCAAGTGGAATAACAGATAAATGATTATGTTTGTATCACAAAACTGCACAGAAAAGTTTTTAGGGACAACAAAATTTTCTCTTGGTGTTGAGACCTTCTAAGAGTTATACTAAACTCGACAGAAATTCAACGGAAAGGATTCTGAAAGATAGTTATTTCATGCTTTGAGTGGTGCATGACTTCTCAAAGATTTCTAATAGTTTCTTTTATATTTCCAGAGGCCTACTTAAATCACTGGGTTACCAAAATTCCTTTTCCATTCATCAAGATGCATCACATCTTTATCGCATTTCATTCTGTTTTAACCAGCCAACGACGTTCATGAAGCCTAACCTACCTTGCAATTAAACAAGCTGAAAATTCTGATAGTGTTCATGATGAACTTTCTAGAATAAAGTTATTATTATGTCCACTAAGTATACATAATACAGGACAGTCGAATGAATAAAGTTCATTTCCGGAAGTAAATAGATGGTGAAGCAGGAAATGTTGGGGATTTTTAAAGCTTATAGTAATTTGTAGGGGTTTAGGGTGTTACACTAATTGAAAATTCCTGGTTAATGAACCAAAACTACTTTTGGCCTGTCAGTACCGGCTTGTAAAACTGACTTTCAAAAACAGACATTCTGTAATTAAAATAATTCATATGTAGATCAGGAGTAGTCAGATTGTAAGAACGTAAGAATTTAGCTAAGGTCAGAATCATTAATCCCTCGATGATAAGTAATTTAGAAAAAAAACTGAGCAATCTCACTGCATGCAATAACACACAACCACACAATAGGATGGTGGGAGAGAGTCAAAATTTTAAGTCGTAATATAAGTAGGTGGAGAGAGAAGTTGATTACTGAATCGTGGTTCATCGAGTCTACACCCAACACATGCAACAGAAATGACTCAATGCAAATACCAGAAATATGGAAGACATTATTACCACCAGTCAAACCACAGAAGGATAATAAATAATGTTAGACTGTATTCTATTCACATGATAACATTCTAACAAGTTAGTTATTTTACTATAGAAAGCATCTTATTTCCTATCTGATTGTATTTGATTGATAACACTCAAATTATTATTTCAGAATGTACTTTATCTTATATTGATTGATTTTTATTCAAATGTCTAATCAATTTTACTCATGCATATAAATGAATCAAAGTTGTGTGAGTGGTGCCTTGATATGATTATCAGTGGTAATAATTTGTGCTCGAAACGTGGTCATCAGTAAATATTACTGTATAACACTGTGTGATTTTATCAAAATTACATTTGTATCCATAATGGAGTTATACTCTACCATCCACAGTACCCAAGTTTTATACTCAATAAGTCAATCAGTTCTTCTATACGGGTCAAAAACTTTGGATGTTGCGGAAAGTATTTCCATCAACAACTAACTGTCTTCCCTGTCCACATACTGAAGATCAGATGGCCAGAGAGAATAAGCAATGAGAAACTTTTGGGAAGAGGAGGATTACAGAGAACGGGATGAAATGGAGACGTGTCTGTCGAAGTCCTATGTTCCATTCGGAAACCGCCAGGAATAAAATTTAACGCATCATTTTTTAGCGACAAACAAACTACTCAGGTTTTAACTCAATATAATTTAAACATTTTGGTGATATAATATGCACTCAAGGACTTTATACACTTACCCATGCTACTAGACAAAATGCAAACATTGAATATTTGAGGCATTTGAAACAGGTAGTAAATGTTATTTTCGTCATTATTGTATTTTCCTTATCAACAGAAATTGATCGAAATGGATTGATTTAATTGAGATGTAATATAATATATGTATTATATAAGAAGGCTATATATAGAGAGTTAGTCACTATATTTTTAGTGTGCAAAGCTGATTACGTAATCCACAATGCAATTGACTAAAAATCCACTACTTCAATTTTGCGACTTTACGTTGAAACAATTCTCCACATATAATAATAATAAAGATTTATCTTTAAAGTTCACTCTAAGAAATTTAATCGGAAATACCGTGATTATTGTTGTGTCACGGTGACAGCAGATAGAGGAGGAATCCCATTAATGATTAGTGTTGGGTTTCGACAATAGCAATAATAATACTGACACAATGCTCGTATGTGTTTAAATGTGTGTTGCATGCACCTTAACTAACACACATATACACACGCACGTTATGTACGCCTGTGTATTTTTGTAGTGCAAAAATGCGTGTGTCCGTATTTTATCATTTTTAGTGATTTAGGAAGCAAATGCAAAAGTTGGTTTAGCACTATTATGGAACAACACAGTAAAATAGTATACCATCGTGACAAAAATTAAAATTCATTACAGAATAATTCATCACAAACCAATCTAAGATGACTATCGAAGTACATATATAGAGTGACGTACAAACACATACACACACGCCTACATACTCAATCTCTGTAAGTACACCACATATACACACAATAACACAGGTAATAGATAGACAAACACACAATGTTACACTAGATTATATATCGATCCATCATTCTTTATTTATTATTTCATTCATGCAGTCATTCATTATCTGACCGGAAAAGTTAAAGTCATTTTTAAAAATCCACCTACGTGTGTATGATTGGTTAAATATACTGTGGATGAAGTCAAAGCATTAGCCATGCTGTTATATATACATATCCTCTAACGACAGTTGTTTCCTTTAATATATATTATATATATATAAAAATAACAATTCTTATCTTGCTTTCTTAACATGGGATTACTAAAACAAAACACGTAAGATTGTAGAGAAACTAACCAAATGATATCATCATGCAAAATTTGTCTTCTGTGTGCCTTATTCAAATGTAAGATTGTGTTTAAAATATAGAATGTTTCCAATAAAAATTTTAAAAATGGTCGTGATGATATCAGTTTTCTTTCAGTAAATCAATAGGCAATGAACCATCTTCTTAATACACCAAGGAGTGTGTGTGTTTGTGTTGTATAGACTTCTTTTCTGTAAGAGTAGAATTTAATAATAATAATATAATAATAATAATGATTTACTTTATTCCAAAAACAGTACTTGTGATACAGAATGGAATTTTCAGCATTAATCACAATATTCCATCTAATTTCCTCAAATTATAAATCAAAATTAATCACACAGAAAATCTTCCACATTTACAATAGAGGTGGGTAATGTCAAAAACATGCAGCATATAAAATGGAAATAATAATAATAATGATAACAGCTAAGGTAATAATAATACAAGTGAACATTCCGTGGGCTTGTTTCACACAGTATTGTCAATTTGGTATAGAAATCCTAGCATGTTTAAAAATATTGAATATAATGTTCTCTTTACATGATATTGTGAGGGGAAAAACAAAGATTACAGCAGTCATGGAGATAAGTTGGTGTTTGCAATTATGAGAGTAAAACAAAGAAGTAACAGGACCATAAATATAATAGAAGTAATAAAAGTAAAACTTGAAGGTATATAAGGATGGATGGATGGAGGAAATTGTTTATTTACTAGATGAAAAAAGGTTAGTTAGTTATTCTTGCCTGACACTATTTTCATCACATAAAATACGTGACAAGTATGGTATCATAGAATTCTTATACTTAGACGTGCGAGCATACAGTTTTCTGAAGTTACTCCTTGTTCTACCTGAGGAGATGCAAGGTGAAAGCTGAGGGTAAAGCGGATGCTCCAAGTCAGACAAAATCCCTTTAGCAAATTTATTGCACGAAGTCAAGTGCCTATCGACAACCTGTCTGTCTGTCTGTTTTCGACATAGAACTTTGCACAAATGTGCGGAAGTTCAAGTCGCCACATTCCGTGTAGCACGCGAAGCAAGAGAAGAAAGTACAAGAAAAGCATAATAGAAACAGTGAGCAGAGGTGTGAGACAAAGGAGTAATAAAGAAAAACAAAACAGTTTCATTGGAATCATAAGTCACAAGGAGTGGATGCATCTGCGCCACTGAGAACGATTTTGAGCCATGTCACCAATTGTTTCCAACCATAGATTTTTACCGTCCCGAGGACCCCAGCCTGGAAGTCTACACCTTTCTACGTGGCTTAGACCAACTGTTGTGGATTTCATTGACTGATGCCAAGTTTTTGTTTGACCGCCGCTAGCTTTTTTCCAGTCTGACCCTATATCCGCTAACATTGCTCGTCGAGGGAGGCGATGGCTTGGCATACGTAACACATGTCCTAACCATCTCAGTCGATGTAGCTTCACGACTTCGTCGATTGATTTCCCCTGTTTACCTAGAACTCGACGCCTAACCTCCATGTTGCTCACCTTATTATGCCACTTTACACGGGAAATAGAACGCAGGCACCTATGATCAAAGACAGCTAGTCTTTTCATGTCTTCCACTCTCAGTGGCCAGGTCTCACAACCATAAAGGAGGACGGAGCGGACTGCTGACAGTACACCCGCCCTTTGGTCGATAGTCGAACATCTCGTCTACGCCAGAGTCGGCGTAAACTGCAATGCGAAACGAGCCCCTTGTATTCGTGCTGAGATTTCGTCAGAGATCAGCCCGTTGGGGCTGATGGTACTTCCCAAATAAGTGAAGCGGTCAACGTGCTCTACACTTCACTTCCTATTTTTAAACTAGGCGTCGATGTAGTCCAGTCCTGTAACATCATCTTGCATTTGGCGGGAGCAATCGCATGCCAAACATTCGTAGATTGCGGCTCAAGGTGTTTAGAAGACTCTGCATTTCGTCAGCGTCTTCGCCTAGAAGGACTATATCGTCTGCATATTCCAAGTCAACGAGATTATTCCCGGTAGCAAGTCAATCCCTGAGTCGCTGAAGTCACCTAGGGTTAAGTCCATTAACACATCTATGATGAAGTTGAATAGAAAAGGAGATAATGGGCATCCTTGACGGACACCACTGGTCGTCATCAGTTCAGATGACAGCTCGCCGTAAGCCCTCACCTGGCTGTAGTACGATAGAGTGCTAATCAGTGCAATATATTTTCTGGAATTCCCTTTACAGCCAAGCATCTCCAGAGAACTTCCCGATCGACAGAGTCGAATGCTGCCTTTAGGTCAAGAAATATAATGACTGTTGGACGCCGGTAGGAATGCCTATGTTCTAGAATCTGTCGGAGGGTGAAGATATGATCAATACACCCTCTTCCTGGTCTAAAGCCTGCCTGGCTCTCTCGTGTTTGTGCTTCCCGAGCACCACTCAGTCTACGCATGATTATTGAGCCTATCGACAACGACGTTAACTATGTGGTCCACTGGGACACCACTCACCCTACTGACAGTCTTCAGCATTCTACGAATTATGACATAGTCCTTTTTAAGCAAACCAGGAAAGAATAAGGGTGAACAATAAAGAAGAATAGGTAGGATGCAAGAGTTTATGAACTGTAAGAGGAGGGGTTGAGTTATACCCGAGTGCCTTAACTTCTTAATGTAGAATGTCAGGTGGAATATTTTACTGGACATCGCTAAGACATGGGAAGACCAGGAGAGATCAGAAGAGAGAATAAGTTCAAGATACCTAATTTCTGATTTGATTCCTATATCATTGTCGTCAATCTTACAACTGTCATGAGAATCGATGACTTCTTTTAACGGTCTTTTACATCTTAAGCTGAAGTTAACAGTTTGACATTTAGAAGGATTCAGTTTAAGACCGTTAGACTCAGACCGTTTACTGACTCCCGACAGAAAGCTGTTTATTTTGGTACAATCTAGCTGGGAGTTAACAGCCATTGAAACTGTTAAATCATCAGCGTACTTCACAAAGTTTATTTCATCAGGTTGAGGCAAGTCATGCAAGAAGAAAAAAAAGAATAGGAGAAAGGACAGCGCCTTGAGGGACACCAGCTTCAGTAGGCAATGAAGTGGAAGACTTCCCTTATACGGTGTACTGCTTTCTTTCTGAGAAATAGGAATGTAACCAGTTAACAGCCCAACATTCTGTTTGACTAGCAGCAAGTTTATTTAATAAGATGTCCCTAGGGACCGAGTCGAAAGCAGATGTATAGTCTAGGAAGGCACAACGAACAAATTTAGCCCCCTTGTCTAAACTGGAAGCAATGTTATGATATAAGGCGGCAGCTGCATCTAAAGTGCTTCTACTGTGGTTATAGGCAAATTGTTTAGGGTCATTAAAGGATTTCAGTGAGGGTACAAGACTAAGTAAAAGTAATTTCTCCATAGTTTTCAAAAAAGGAGAGGTGATAGCAATGGGTCTAAATTTGACACATGCTCAAGTAGATGATTTAGGTATGGGTACAACTTTAATGTCCTTCCAAACGGCAGGCACAATATTACTGGAAAAAGATTTGTTAAATAGATCAGTGAGAGGGTGACACAAAATATTTGGACACTGCAGTAGAATAGAATTCCATGTAAGGTACATTTACTTGATATATACGTGTGATACAGTATTAATAACTGGATGACGATTCCATTGCAATTTATTGCTCATATTCATATCGATGTATTTATGCGGCTCTACGCTCTACGAGCTCGCCTTGTAACCAAAAGGTCTTTGGTTCGAACCCTGGCGAGTGTGTACTGATGAAGAGTCCCAAACTAGAGCCAAGTTAAACTTCAGGCGCTACTAACTACCGATGGAGTGCGACCTCACCAATAACCTAGAAACGCTCACTGAGCAAGTTAGTGAAACCTGACAAATAATGTTGTCATCATCAATAAAATATCCTCATCGAAGT